TCATAATATGTAATTAATTATATAATACATTATTTATGATTGATTATATGATATATTATATAATTAATCATAAATAATGTATTATATAATTATAATAATTATATTATATTATATATAATTATAATAATTATAATTAATTAATTATAATTAATTATGATATATAATTGATTATATAATACATTATTATATAATTATATTATAATATATTATATTATATAATATATATAATTATGATATATTATATGATTAATTATAAATAATGTATTATATAATTAATTATATATATTATATAAAATGATATATATTATATATTATAATATTATTTAATAATAATAATAAATAATAATAATTTAAAATAGTTTAATTTTAAAAAGTTTAATTTAAAAATAAAAACATTAAAGAAAAGTTAAAATGAATACCCTGGCCTACCACCTCAACTCCCTTCCTCCTCCTGGCCTCATCCACGTGCTTTGATGGGGGAGGGGGTTTGGGGAAATGTCCTCAAACTACGGCCCTTGGGCCAAGTCTGGTCACTTAAGGCTGCTTGACCCTACAGAAGATAGAGTTGAGTAGTTGTAACTAAGGCAACAGAGCTCCCAAAGCCCAAACTATTTACTCTCTAGTCCTACACAGAAAAAAGTTTGATGATCCCTGGCCTAGATCATTACCTTGGGTCAGTCCTCTGGTGTTACATATTCTGAAATTAATTTTTATGACTGCATAATAATCTAGACTCATATATAAAATTTTACCGCAGTAGGCCCTGCCTTGAACACTAAGCCTCTTACTAAATGGCATTAACATATTGTCAATGATATGAATTACTTCAAATAGATGTTTTTGTTTGTTTAATTTAGAGAGAACAAATTTTTTGGATAAATTCTGGGGCAAAATTGTTGGATCGGAGGATGTTACTATGTTTGCTGATTGTTTATACGTTTTCATTAGATAAAAATATCGGTTTATTATTGAAAATTTAAAAATGCAAATAAGCAAGAAGATAAGATAAAAATATTTCTAATCCTGCTGCCCAGAGATCATCACTTCTAACATTTGGATAAATATTCTTTTCAAATTTTGTTTGTTTTTTTCCTGATATACATACATGCAAAATATATGCATACAGGTAAAATACATGTATGCATACATACATGCAAAAAAACAAAACAATGGACATTATGTAAATGTCCACCACTATAGGAGAGATGAAACAAACAATGATATTTCTGTACTAAGGAATACTCTGTGCCTGATAAAAACAATGATAAGAAGCTATAGGACTTGATATGGAAAGAAAGCCAACATACATATTGAATAAAAAAGAAAGTTAAAAAGCAACATATATGGGTAATGATTTCTTGGATGTGACACCAAAAAGTACAGGAAACACATGAAAAAACAAATAAACTACACTACATCACAGTTAAATTTTTGTGTATCATAAGATACCATCAACAGAGTAAAAAAGGAACCCATGGAATGGGAGAAAATATTTACAAATCACATATCAGATAAAAGGTTAATATCCAGAACATATAAAGAAATTGTATAATTCAACAAAAAACAACAAACAAACAACCCAAAATAAAATGAGCAAAGGACTTAAACAGATATTTCTCTCAACAGAATATACAAACGGTCAACGGTTGCATAAAAACATGCTCAACTTCTTTAGGGAAATGCAAATCAAAACCATAATGAGATCCCACTTCACATCTAATAGGATGGCCATTATTTACAAAAAAAACAAAAACAAAAACAAAAACAAAATAATCCTCAGGATGAGAGGAAATTAGAATGCTTATGAACCACTGTTGGGAATATAAAATGGTTCAACCACTATGGAAAACTCAAAATATTATATACAGAATTACCATATGATTCAGCAATTCCACATCTGGGCTTATACTCATAAGAATTGAAAGCAGGGATTCAAACAGACGTTTGTACATCCATGTCCATAGCATTATTTATAACAGCCAAAAGGTGGAAACAACCCAAGTGTCCATCAACAGATGAGTGGGAAGCTATCATGTGGTACATACATACATACATACAGTGGAACATTATTAAGCCTTAACAAGGGGGCAATTCTGATACATGCTATCCAACATGGATGAACCAGGAAGATGTAATGTTAAGTGAAATAAGTCAGTCACAAAAGGATAAATACTGTATCATTCCATTCATAGGAACAGTCAAGTTCATAGAGATAGAAAAGTATAGCAGTATTTCCCAGGGGTTGGGGTAGGAGGCAATGGGAGAGTTCTTGTTTGTTTAGTGGGTACAGACCTTCAGTTTTGAAGATGAAAAAAGCTGGAGACAGACTGCGGTAATGGTTATATACCAGTCTGAATGTATTTAATGCCACTGAACTATACACTTAAAAATGACTAACGTGGTAAATTGTATGTTATGAATATTTTACATTAAAAAAATGCATGAGGCATAAACTCATTGTAAAGTACATGTGTTTAATATTGCATTTTCATGTATATATTATTTATAGAAATATATACATATATAATTAATATTGTGTGTAAATGCATAGAATAACATTGTAGATACATTATAATATGAAAATTCATCGCACTGTGCAAGTCCATATTAGTAAGTAACAGAGTGGGATTTTAATTATTTAATCCTTTAAATTCATGGAAGAGTTTTCACCAAATCTTTGACACTGGTTACCTCTAGGGAAAGAAATGAAAGTTCTAGGAATGAAGGAAGAAGAACATAGTTCTATGTTCTCTGTTTTGTATATTGACAACACACTAATGAGTTACTTTTCAAATACAATATTCAAAAGCTACAAACATTTTTTACAAAAGAAGATAGAAAATGAGAAAGAAAAAAAAAAGGACTGGGGCCCAAAAGTTTTACTGGGCGAGTTTTGCACATCTTAAGTAAAAGGTAAGCACATAAAAAGAAGACTGAAAGGTTCTCAGAAATGTACAACTAAAACTACATTGAGATATGACCTCACACGTGTTAGAATGGCCATAATCAAAAAGACAAGAGATAACAAATGCTGGCATGGATTTGGATGAAAGGAAACTTTTGTGCACTGTTGGTGGGATTACAAATAGGAACAATGCCTGTGGGAAACAATATGGAGTATCCTCAAAAACTAAAACTAGAGCAATTATATGATCTAACAATTCCACTTCAGGGAATATATCCAAAGGAAAGAAAACACGAACTCAAAAAGATATCTGCATCTGCTTGTTCACAGGCATTATTTACAAGAGCCAAGACATGGAAACAGCCTGAGAGTCCATCAGTGGAGGAAAAGATGTAAGTGGTGGTAAACATGTATACAATGGAATATTACTCAGCTATTAAAAACTGAGGAAATCCTCATTTGCAAGAACATGGGTGGAACTCAAAGGCATTATGTTAAGTAAAATAGATCAGATGGGAGAAAACCATTGTATGATTTCAACTATATGTGGAATATAAAAACAAAGCAAAACAAAAACAAACAGAAAAGCAAATCAGACTGGTGGTTACCAGAGGCAGAGCATAGGGTGTGGAGGAAGAGGAAGAAAGTGATTAAAAGGTGCAAACTTCCAGTTATAAGATAAAAAAGACTAAGGACGCAATGTACAACAGGATGACTACTTAACAGTGATGTGCAATACACAGGAGAAATTTTCTCATCACAAGGAGAAGTTTTTTTCCTTATTCCTTCTCTTCTTTCTTTTCTTTTTATTATATCTATATGAGAAGATGGATGTTAGCTGAACTTACTATGGTACTCATGTCACCATATATGTAAGTCAAACCATCACGTTGTGTGCCTTAAACCTGTACAGTGATGTTTGTCATTTGTTTTTCAATAAAACTAGGGAAAAAAACTACAGCCTCCAAAAAAAGATCTGAAGGTATTCTGATATTAGATAAATAAACTGCTTTTGTGCATTCTAATTAATATTGAATTGTTTTTAACTATATTTTATAATATATGCTATACTTACATAAATGTGAATAGGTTAATATACAATATTACATATAAACATATACTCCAATATTTATTCCTAGTCTGTCTTCTGAAAATCCAAAAAATATTAATCAACTCAATAGCAATGAACATCCTTGCATCCATGTAGTGCCTCCTAAAACCAATTCCCACTAAAAAGAACCAGGGATTCTTTAAGAAATGGTTTCCTCCTGATCTGGGTCGGAAAAGGAACTAGCTAATCCTAGAATTTTGTTATGGAATAATAAAAATTAAGGGAGCTCCCAAAGACATGAGTCATGTGAACGGAACTAAAGTTATGTGAAAGGACTTCAGGGTCAAAATAAAGGGTATCCAATTTGGCAAAAAGGTGACAATTTGAACATTAATAAGAATGATAACTGAAATGAAGTGAATCACACGAAATATGTTTAAATCCTTAATCACATGAAATATGTTTAAATCCTTAAGTCCTTAATAACACCAAAAGAAATTATTGGTCATATTCTGAGGATGCTACCAACCAGCTCATTTTTTTTTTGAAAA